CTTTTTCTCATCAGCTTTATGCGCATTTTTAAACTGTCTTAGAGTAGTGAGAAAATCCATTCTCCTCTTCATAGTTATTACTTTGTGAAGATTTAATACCGTAGCCGCTAGCTCCGGTCTCGGACGTCGGAGACAAATTGCAGTTCAACTACGGATCTTGTTTCCAGTTTACTGCTGAACGTGAAACGACTATCGCGGACCATTTATCTATTAACTATCTATTTAAATCTTTACATTAAGGGCCCTTTTTTAAATCATTAGTATTGCGTCAGATGTTCACTGCTAAAATTTTTATATGACATAAGATGTTCACCATTTTTGTTATCACAGAGAGGTATCAACCTCTCGCCGGTAGATCGAACTGAGTTATAGAATAAATGTCAACGACAAATCTAGAACTTTTATAAAAAAAGGAATGGTTTATTCCGGACATAAAGTACTGGTTATATAAAATAGAACTATATTTTAAATAGTTATAGTTTTGATGTTCTGTCAATATTGAATTTATAAGAAGAGACACAACTTTAGGGTTTAATTCTCTAAGGACACAACCATTCAGAGGCGTCTTTTCATGATTACTTTTACTCTGTTATTATACGGGAAATAACAACTCAATCTTAAAAAAAATATAGTTATAACTTAAAAGTTGGTATTTTTCTGCGTGAAGCGTATGAAACTGATTACATTCTGTTGGCAATAAAGAAAAGAACGATTCAAAAGTCCAGAACAACATTTTTACTCGACTAAAATTCGAGTGAATGGTAAAAAAGACAGCATTAGGATTTTAAACAAGCGATTAAAAAACAGGGCTCTTATCTGTTCCCTTGAGAGAAGCAAGCGTTATATAATAATAAGGTATCTTATTCAAATAAGTCTTTTGTTTCCTTGACACCCATACCGCTTTTTATACATGCTCGCTGATTTTAATGATTTTTTACATGCGGTTTCTAACCCCTGCTTTTATATTATTCTCACTGTATAGTATATTAACTTTTTAAGAATCAATTTTTTTTTTCATACATTCAACAATTCAACATATACGGTACATGGTCCATGATCATAATAATTATACTTTGTAACTTGTTGAAGTTTTGTAATAATAAAAAAAAAGTTTATAAAAGAACCAAAACTCATTTTTTTCTATTCAGCGACGATTCTTATCGTCTATAAACTTTAGCCAATCACATTAAATCCTAATGAATTATACACAATTTTTTTACCTTATGATGTTTGTTCTGTAGTTTCTGTTTAGAACGGCATTAAAATCCGTAAGTACCATAGTTTTTGAGCTTGTCGACTTCAAAGATACAAACGCAGCATGAACATTGTTGTTTTTTTATTAATACATTACATAGGTATACACCATATAAACATTTATTTTGTGATATACAACTGCGACTCTAATACACCATGTTGCGTCCATTAAACTATAATTACCATTTTAAGCTCTTATGAATCTTCTAATTTTGAAAACTTCTATCTCTTTGTTGCTTAATCTAATGATAGTTTAAATGGATGTCTTTGCAACGGAGTGTTAGAGAAATACATACATAATCTTATTTTCTGATGGATAAAGTCAGTTGGCTATCGTAGTGTTAGAATATACTTATATTGTATGCCTTACTCCTAGCTGAATCCGATAGCCAATTCACAGATAGTAATAAAGTTAACTAATAGTAATTTACTTAACTTTTTTACTTGATAATAGTTCACCTTTTTGTAATATATGATGGCAGATTTTTAAGTACTACAGTATCTAAAACTTTTTGTCCATTAGGTAAACCTAAGGTCTGACGACCCTGGGATTTCTCCTTTAATTCAAATATAAAATTTAACAAACTCATCTAAATTGATAACATTGTTGTATGACCTTAGAGAATATATGACATATACTCAACTTTCATGATCAATAAAACTCGTCAATTATAAATAAAAAAGTCTAATTTAAACTTCGTGAAATACCAACAGAACTCCTTAATAATGCCAAAGCAATAAAAATTAACTTCACTGTATGGAGTTTCTCCAATAAAGTTAATTGTTAATCTTGTTTTCAGTTAACGATTCAACATAAGAGGAATGAGCTGAGCAACTTTAATTTTGGCAGTTTATAATTACAAAGTTTCTGCATTACTCACATTGTTGAATTTCAGTTAAGTTTTAATATTGCACTGATTTATGGCACAATTAATTGCGGAACACCGATTTTTTGGTAAAATAGACTTAATTTTGTTAGTGCTGTCAAGAGATCGTTCGTTGGCTAGACGCCATCTTGGACTAGGATGTGATCTTTGTCGCATCAATGTTTGAAAGTATTTTTTTATTGTCTCGAATATGTATGTACTTTAGTTGAGACACTTAACATTACCATTATATAACAGATCAATGAACTACAAAACTTTAGTTGATATTTTAATGAAGTGTGTTTTATTTTACAGAAGATGATAAAAAACAACATAAAACAGAAACTCATGTTTATAAAAAGTGCTTCAATTTTTAATTAGTATTGAATTGAAAACAAAAAATATACTAACTGTATAAAGAAAATGTTACTGTTTTCAATACAGTGAATGTAAATTATTAGATAACATTTCGCATATACCTAAAGTCTAGGTGTTTTTTATTCTTCATTTTCAGTTGATATAATATTGTTAATTATAGCCGTCACATTTTCAGTTTTTTCGTTTCTTTCCAAATAAAGTATTTTTTCAATACTACATTTATGTAGCAGGTTTTACTTTATATAGCATTATACAATTATTATAAATTTCTTCTTTAAAATATACGTTATATATACTTTGTTTCACCTTAATTAATAATAATCTATACTTAATAATTTTGCTTGCTGCTTGTGATCTCATTTTCATGTTATTTAAATAAATTTTCTTCTGAACAGCTCCAGAAATGTCACCTGGGAATTAATTTAAAATTGCAATATTTTATAAATTCGCTAAACGAAAGTCATTGTTACAATATTTTTGGGTAAAGTATGCATATGAATGTAACTTATAAGTACTTACTTCTTCCTTAAAAAGGTTGACGGGTAATGATACAGCAAATAATATAAATTAATATGAATAAAAAACATTTATTGTTTGCGTTTCATTACTCGTGAACTAATGATTTATTTCTAAAAAAGTTTCTTATATCTTTATGTATTTATCTGATTTAAAAAGTGAGCGTAAATGGGACAACGTTTCTGCTTCAATATATATATTTATTCTTTTTTATTTAATGCTCTGATGTAAATGCCAGCTAAACCCTTAAGTTTTGTTGTTTTCTTTTGATATTGTTTTTAATATTAATTATTTAAAACAAGTTTTCAGTACAGTGACAACACAGTAGGAGGTGATTCCCGAATGTGACGATTGGTACTTGTGCGAGTTTTATTTTTTTACTTTTAAAGTAACAATCGTTCGCGTGGTCTTTTTATTCCTCCTACTCGGTGCTGCCACAGATAAAAAAGAATATAAACGTACATGGCACGCTAGTCGCTGATTTGAGACACCACGATCATTCTCCCGCTTGTCAGGCCATTATTTTATTTATCAATATTTATACTGTGAACGAGTTTATAAAACATTAAAATTAATTATCGAAAGAATATGATACATACTCATAAAAGTAATTGATACTCGAAAAGAAGTATTTACAAAATTGGAATTTTTCATTTATTAATATTTAATAATGGTGGTCTATCATATTATTTGGTCTTTCAATAAGGACTTCTGTGTTTTGACTGTTGAAATTACATCTTTTAAATTGGCTGTTATTAAATCAATGTTTTTCCAAATCTTCAACGCTGTATATAATGCTCAACCATACGTGCAAAGATAAAATGAATTTATTAAAAGCATTCTGTTTAGACAATGTAGCGCGTACTTTACCATAGTCTTCCTACAAAAAGGAATATGGACTCTGAGTTTGTTTGTTCAGTAAGCAATTAACCAACGCTCGTATGTCGAGGAAACGCAAGAATTCCCGAAAACATACCCGTTTCCGACGAGAGTATAGTAATTCTCTTACGAAGCGATTTCAGCCTTTTAGATTTTTTCTTGTGGGGTTTTTTTATGTCGTAATTATAAGAGAATAAGCTACTAATCGTACCGACATACAAAATCAACAAGATCCAGCAATATGAAATGGCTTTCAGACGTATAAAGACTTCAATGATGTCTTACAAATACCTTCTTTGATTTATTTAAGTTCAAACATGGAAAATGCTTAATGAAAGACAAAATTAATACTTTATAAATAAAAAATACACAAGAAATATATAGGTTTAAAAAAATCTTTTGAATATAATAAAGAAGAAGGAACGAATTATTTACGCATCGGTTCGGCAAAGCGAGAGGATGACTTCTGTAATGTCGACTATAAAATTGTGATATTTTACTCCTTATATTTTATCGTTGGCATTACAGTTTAAAATGTCCCAGATAAATCCGAAGCACTGTAAAACACATCAATATATAAACATTCAATGCATCAATTCTCTTATGCTTTTTTAAATTAGCTTTATTAAACAATAATTCAAATTAAATAAATCGTAGAATACCTAAATCTAAATCTCTCTGTAACATATTTTAAATACTATACATTATTAAATTTTCTTTAAAATATCAAATCTTCTTTGCATAATTCGGAATCTTCTTTGCATTTTTGATTAAACGCCAGCCGATCGCTTCTAACTTCGAAATAAACTTTTTAATGAAATTTTAAAAGCCCATTATCATTCTCTAAGACACTTTCAAATATCATTTGTTTGAGATTACCGGATACTTGATAAGGGTCAGCAGCGGTTTTAACACTTTATATTTTTTTGTTTACCGGACGATCAATTTCTTTAAATGTTTATTCGATTCGAAAATAAAAAAGAATTTATTTAGAATCACTTGTTTCAATGGAATTGGGGGTAACTAGAATTTTTAGACGATTCAAGTTTCATAGAACGTAACCATAGATGGTAAAGAGTAAGAGAGTGACGGACTTTTCATTGGTAGTGCTGACGAGGGTTTTGACGGGACGTACCAGACCAACGTGGTGGTCAGAAACAACGGCAGTTGCTTGTACGTGCCTCCGGGCATTTTCAAGAGCACATGCAAGATAGACATCACGTGGTTCCCCTTCGATGACCAACACTGTGACATGAAGTTCGGTAGCTGGACCTACGATGGCAACCAGGTACATCGTATGCCGAAATAGAATCGCTTAGCTGTCAATGTCAGTTCTCGTTAGGTTAATTATAAAAACGTAACACGGATACCGGATCAAAGAGGAAAGCTTGCTTGACTAATGTATAACTAATTACTGGAAATGTGATTTCGCTAATTGGGTATATTAAGCTTTTCTATTTGTTTTCTGACTCTTAGTAAATGTAACTAAGTCCTCATATAACATTTTGCTCATAAATTTGCCGCGATCTAATTGAATTTATTATAAGAAACCAGTGTCCCTGAAACGTTAATGCAAACATACGAGAATTGACGGTCTGCTATATACATGTATTTGAGTTTCCTTTGGCTAATATTATATAACGAGTTTTAATCGCGTTTCGCTTTTGTTTCTGGATTGTTGCCAACTTGCAAAATCTGATGCACGCTAGCAAAATACTGTTGGTATCCTTCCTGCTAGTAACGACATGTCATTAACTAACTAGCATGCCTTTAAACGGCAAGTTGGCTTCGTATCAGAAGGAAAGAGCTTACATGTAATAGCAGTTAAAACTTCAAAATGTTAGGTGGATAACGTTAGAAACACTGAAATGTTTTTGTTAGGAAAATGTAAGGGAACCATGTGAGAAACCAAGAGGATATCAAATATCCTATACGTTTTGTATGTACTATTTTGCATGGAGCAAACAAATGTTACCTTCAAGTGAAGCACTGATATATATTTAAGGGTACACAATTTTCCGCCGCCATACGGACGCACTATTTAATGAATCAAACAAAACACAAAAGCGTTTTAATACTTAAATATAAGTTATTAATTAATACGTATGTACATACATGTATAATTTAATTGCTTTTGTGTTTTAAAATTACTTTTAAAGTTTGCATGCTAATAGAAGTGCTGTGTTCAAATTTTAGCATCACATTTATGATATGCACCTTCCATTTTAAAATTAAAAGCCGTTAGCGATGTGGTCTGAGAGCAAGTCGCTGCGGCTTTCCTCATTGCGTCTAGTAATTTTCCCGGTCCCCTAGGAACCCGTTATGTCTAGTTAGTCTTTGCTGCCCCTCAAGGATAAATCTAGCTTGTACAAGCTTCAAAATTTAATCTTTGACATGGTGTCTTTTGCAGCTAGCAGCTTTTAAGTTTGTGTTAGAACTAATTTTGGATATGATACCTAAGACAAATTGTTTTGGTTATTAGATATTTTTAAATTTTGGTTAATGTTTGGTTTTTTATCAAAAAATATTATTGAGATTTACTGAATAGTTACAATTTAGCTCCAACAGTATACTGAAAATGTAAATGTTATAAAAGAGTGTATTCCGTATGGTGGTGTCTTTTTTCAATATCTTCTTCAGCATGCTATTGCATCCTTTTAGTTCAGGAATCCCTTTGTCTTGCACTTTTTCAGGTTCTCACATTTCCCTTTCCTGTACTACATTTAGGTTCAAATACTTCAAGTATAGTATTCCTAAAGTAAATGCATGCAACTACAACAGGTACTTTGTAAGAAACAGATGTAATGACATCACATTATCAAATTTTAAATGAGACAAGATGTTCTGTTGTCAGAGTAACTGTTAAGAATATTGCATGCGCTGATGTTAAAATATCTCCCATTGAATTTGTTCGAGACCTCATAGTGTTCTACCCTAACAGTTGGATCTGGTGCTCAAGGATGAGGCAGGAGGGGATTTGTCAGACTTCATCACAAACGGAGAGTGGTATCTGATAGGTGAGGAATACTAAACTGATTCATTAACTGCATACTTTCTGTTAAAAAATTGTAAAATACAGTATGTGACTTGAGTTTCTTTTCATTATTATTTTAAAAATTAGCTCTGATGACGATGTTTCTTTTTTCAGTTATAGGTTTAAAACTAAGAATAGATTAATCAGTTAAAATAAGATAATAAAGCTTTGTTTAAATTACCAGGGATGCCAGGCAAAAAGAATACCATAACGTATGCGTGTTGCCCAGAGCCTTACGTGGATGTAACGTTCACGATCATGATCAGGCGGCGGACGCTCTACTATTTCTTCAACCTCATCGTGCCCTGTGTTCTTATCTCGTCCATGGCCCTTTTAGGGTTCACACTGCCTCCTGACTCTGGCGAGAAGCTCACACTCGGTCAGTTGGTTTTTGTATTAAATATCTGCAATTTAATTTTTATGCTAATATGTTCTTTTAATACTTGGGAATCTTGATCAAACCAACAAAAATTTACTAATGATAAATTAAGCATTTTAACTGTTGTATCAATTTATCAAGATAGCCATACAGTTAAATATGATTTATCAATGTCATAAAGTGACGTATTATTTGAAAACAAGTATAGAATTTAGCTTTAAACGAACTATTATCTAAATTCTGTTTCAAACAACTCATATGATTAATTAGTAATGTTCCTTTTAGCATAAATTGACTAGGTTATTTGGATTAAATAAAATCGCAATTTTTGATCTTATCATGTAGATTCTTGAAGGGGTTACACGAATCATTAGAAAACGAAAAATAGATACACTGTAAAAGTGTTATGCTATGAGCTTAAGCAGATGCTGATGTCTACAGGTGTGACAATATTACTGTCCTTGACCGTGTTTCTGAACCTGGTAGCAGAAAAGATGCCTTCTACATCGGATGCCGTGCCTCTCATAGGTATCCCACTGTAGGTGATACCAAACACAAATAGCGCACGATGCTTTCATTATTGCAGTATACTCAAGGTTCACAATTAAGTCTGTGGTATTAAAATTAGTCACTGTTGCTAAGGTGAATTTGATATCAGAATTTTTTAAGTAAATAACTTTTAATGACTTAGACTCCTAAGTTGGACGAGAGAGACGAGATACGAGATCATAGTTAAGGTATGCGCTACATACACTTATAAAACTATACCGGCGTAGCTCGTTGAGTGAGCCAGCGGGGTTATAAAACTTTTAGAGGAGGTCGGAAGCAACGTGCGCTTAACATAAATATTAGATCAAGTCTAGAATGTGGTATGACTGTGTGTGTTTGTGTTAGCCTACCCTGAATTCCACGATGTGCCCGGTAAGTATTTTCGGTGTAGATATCATAAAGCAATCATTATATATTTTCAGCGTCATCAAATTCATCAAATTAGGGGATCAGGATTATTTATCTGACAAAATTATTTGGAATTGGAGAGTTGTGTTTGAGAATATCTTAATTTGGTCGCGGAAGGGCAACTGTAGGGGTGTTAACATTGTGTTTGATTACAGGAGTCACTATTCTACTCTCGCTGACGGTGTTCCTCAACCTGGTAGCTGAGACCCTGCCGCAGGTCTCCGACGCAATCCCCCTGTTAGGTACACTACCCAAACCTCTCCTCGATTTTTGACCGTCCTCTTCTCCCGTGTTACTTTATTCTTCATGACCATTTTTGAGTTTATAAATTTTAAACTTTTCTTTGTTTGTGTTTTGGCTCTCGTTATACTATTTTTATTTAATAAAAAGTTGTTAAAGAGTTATTTTAAAACATTACAAGAAGTAAATTATAAACTCTAAATAGTCTGATATTTTCATTTCATTGTACAAGTGATGATTGGAGCAAATATTTGATTTTATGATAAAGTCATGCTTTGCTTTTTGGGATTACTTATATTTTATCATTAATTTAAAAAAAAATGTTATAAATTAAATTGGCAGCTCGATACAAGATATAAATTCATTATCAGGATTTTTTTTTATATTATTTTCATTTTATATAATACTGGAATCGATTTCGTGGTTTTCTTGTTCGCTTTTAGGCTTTAGCAATTATCCATTATTTTCTTTGTTTGAGTAATACATCTTGATAATTTGGAGTCAATAGCATGGCATGTGACTATTCACAAAGATTTCTTAGATAATTTGGATCCTTAAGGTAAGTCGAGTTTTCAATTTCTCAATGTCACTTGATTTCAGTGTTACACATTTTTCTATTCTGCAAATCTATGTGATTTTGATTCGCGTAATCGATTCCATGTTGTATTCAATTTGAATGTGTTGTATGGATGTTGTCAATGTATTTATATTAATATATGAAACTATATGCCACTTGCTGTGGTTTTGATACTTGGAGGGTGGTAGTAGGTTTAATAAAATGTTTGTTAATTTAACTAGTACCCTTCTAAATAAATGAAATATAAACAAAATTTAAATAATACGATATAATACGTCAAGAGATTTCCACTCTAAATAGAATTTGCATGATTACTTTTTGTTTTGTTTATGATTTCACTTGAGCTCCTGGTACCGACTCAGCACACAAACAGGAAATGAGACCATTATTATTTATCCAATGAGTGCCTGGAAGGAATTCTTATGTAACCTTAGGTCCTAGTCTTAAAGTTATTAGCAGAACGTTTTGTTATTAAATAGAATATTATATTGATCTTTGCAGGTGTTACAATTCTTCTGTCGCAAACGGTTTTTTCTCTATTGGTGGGGCATGTTATCACAAAAACCTCAGAGGCGATCCCACTGATAGGTGAGAAAATTCCTCGCGTTAGATAAACTTTTGATTAAATTGAATAATAAATAAAATATATAACAAATTCAAGAAATTCCAACTTGTAATTGAAATATTACTAAAATAAATTATATCAAAGAATGCGTTGTGAGGAATATTTTTCATTGTTAAAAGACTACTTGATACCGATCATGGCTATGACAAAATATTCCTTCGCTCGTTCTTGAAACACCAGTTTAACAAAGATCTAAATAGAATGCAATTTATTTTAGCTTGAATGAAATAAATTAACGGAGAGCATAGCATCCTTTCTCTGTCCTGTTCTCAACTCGCATTTTAGAGTCTCGTGGTCTCTGGAGACTAGTCTATGCTTATACAGCGTTCTTGCCAGCTCTCTCGACACTTTGAATAGAATTATTGCACTTTCGGTTTGTGCTAAGCCGATATGTAGATGTACTGAAATGCGAAAAATACTTTTTGGAGGTATTTTGTATATTACAATGTTACCCTCTTGTAATGTATTAAAATAATTTACACTTTTCCCTCATCTGTCCATCTCTTGATTGTTTTGTGTAAAAATAATGTTTTTTACTTTTCTCCTTTCTTTAAATTGTTTTTCGATTGGCCTGTTTTGAAGTAGATCCATTTCCATGACTGTCGACGTCAGGTTTAAGTGGCATGTAGTTTACGCTAATAAGCAATCTAACGCACAACTCTCCTGATTAAACTTATTCTAAATAGGCTTATAAACATGTAGGATTTGGTTTGCTTGTAGTTTAAAAGCAGGATATAAAGTTAAACGGTGGTTTAAAGAGACAAAGTGGATGCGGGCGTCGAGGGGCCTCCCTCCAAGTATCTGCTGAACATCCATTCAACTTTGTGGACAGTTTGTGTCAGTATAATTGACTTAATAATCAACTTGCTGCGACATTGACAAAGGATTTAGCGTTAGCGGGATACTGTAATAGACCTTTCTCAGTTTCGCAGTGACGATCGTGCTATCTTTCAGATTGATATTAAAATAATATAAAAGGTAACTAAAAAAGAAAGAACCTTTTCGCACTTTGATGCAAAAGATTCTTTTAGTCATTAATTTAATAATATTTACTGCGTTTTCTATTTGACTTTTAATATAATTTTGACGTATTTATAATTACAGTAGTAAAATGCAGTAAAGAAATAATATCATCTTAAATTTCATCGATATTGCCTAGAGAATCATTATAGATTAATTGTAGAAATAAACAGTTGCACATAGTGATAAATGATTGCTGATTTAAAACTATTATACAATGCATGTATTGTCGTTTTAAATGCATGAATGTTGCTTTCGTTTTTATCACTACCAATGAAATGATTATTATCATCCAAAACTTTAAATAAGACAATAATTGGAGAAAATTAATTAAAATTTAATTTGTAATATATTTACCTAATTCTTCTTCTTCTTTTTTACAATCCTTGTAGTATTATGATAATAAATAAATAACTTAATCCATTGAGTCAATTTGCATGCATAAATAACATTCACTTAAAACAAACTAAATAATAAACTTAAACCCATTAATTCTGATTATGAAATTGTTTATTCTTTTTTGTCCATAAATATGAAACTTTTTACTTTGGGTGACAGGAACTTACTTCAACTGCATAATGTTCATGGTGGCTTCTTCGGTGGTATTGACGGTAGTGGTGTTAAATTACCATCATCGGACAGCTGATATACATGAGATGCCACAATGGGTACGTCGCTTTCTAGTAAAATAATATCCGATATACACGACAACAATGAATTCTACTTCGTTAAACTACTGAAACGTTTCGATGTCAAAATCAAACTATGGTGTGGCTCCGGCCTTTAAGCAGTGGGCTAACTCTATAATTTTAAAATCAATCGCAATCCTTGCCAAGGGCATAGCTATTTATGGAATTGAGTAACTATTAAAATCACAATTGCTTTAGAAAATGATGTTAATGATCAAGAAACTATTATTGTTTCTTAATTAAACCGTTCAAAGATTGCTATTAGCATACAACTCTTTCGTTCTCAACAGCTTCCAATGATATTTGTGTCTAAGGCAAGTGGCCTTAGACAATTCCAATTAACGTCAACGAATAGTTCATTCAATATCTTAAAAAAAGACGTCGCGATAGAAATTGCTATCACACTTCAAATAGTTGTAGCGTTAAAGTTTGTGAATTTCAAGCACAGATTTGAAGGGATTGCAATAAATTTTAAAATTAGATATTAAGCCCTCAATATTTATTTAATGCTTGCAGTTATCATTCGCTCTCAAGAGTGATGCAATGACCTGGAGCAGGAAAGTTTTACATAATTATATAAATAACATGTTCCATTTTGACAGTATCATTTGCATATTAATTAAAAGCGAACTAAATTGTGATCATGATTGAAAACAAGTAGCAAATCGTGTAACTCAATTATTAAAAACTTATTATTGAATTGATGTCGCGATGAATGATTCAAGTATTTAATTATTTTTTACGACAGATAAAGTCTGTGTTCTTGCAATGGCTGCCTTGGATCTTGAGGATGTCAAGGCCAGGAAAGAAGATTACGAGGAAGACGATAATGATGAACACCAGGATGAGAGAGTTGGAGTTAAAGGAGAGATCCTCAAAGTCATTATTGGCGAACGTTCTGGATATCGACGATGATTTCAGACACGGCCCACCGCCGCCTAATAGCACTGCCTCTACAGGGAACTTAGGACCAGGGTAAGATTTACATCACGAGCTTATTAATGGATGACATCAAATAGGGGAATGGACTATGGTCCACCACGCGAACCCAGTGTGAATTGGTGGGTGTTAACAATTGCAGATGAAGCCGAGACCAAGGGCTTAACATGCAATAGTAAAATGTAAATTATTGAATTACAGAATTGTTTTATTATATATTTTATATTAATGTTCAATGGTGAAATTGTACTAAATGGAAACAAAATATAGAAACTAAAAACACACAAGAAATATGTATGTCTTGTAAGTAACGGTAATCCTTGTCTTGTAGAAAGCACTTCTTGTTTTACAGTAGCGGCAAAGTTACAAATAAAAATTAATTTTATTCTATAGTACAGGATTTAGACGTCAATTTTTTTAAAAAGAAAATATCTCCTTTTTTATTGCATTAAAAAAGATAGACAAAAGTGAATTTAATTTACATTAAAATCAGTACATTTATGAAATTTTTTTTATACAAAAACCAATAAAAAGGTACATTTTATCTATATCATACGGATATCCCCAAAGATTACTAAATCTCTTTAATACTCATGAATACTTACTGATGCCGTACATAAGAGGAACAGAGGCAATGTAATATAATTGAATCGGTCATTTCAAAAACCTCTTAAGTCACATTTTATTCCGACATGTTTATTATCATTTGCTTTAAATGATTCCTTAAATGGAGCGTATTCTTGGTAAAAACCACATAAGTTTATACGTTCCTTCTTCTTTCAATAATACCACGTGAAAGACGTTCATTGCGTAAACAACACTAGCCATTGACTCAATAGGTTTTTGCATGCACTACTAGATGGCAGGAGTAGTTTATGACTGAGTTGGATGTTTTAAATTTTCTTTATTTTGCTTGGTTACACAAAATTCTAATTTTTTAATTTATAAATCATCTCCATTAATTTCATATTTGAACTTCACTTGTTTTTTACTTGACTATTTTGTGTGAAAAGTAATTAGCTTAAAAATGTTTTCTACTGAAACTGAGAGGGATGGCGAGCCGAAAAAGAAGAGAACGTGTAATCCCGCAAAGTATAAAAGGAAAATTATAAAAAATATAAAATTAAATGACAGGCATATACTAATTATAGAAGAAAACAAATAGATTATGTTTTTTAATTTAAGAAATGGAGGTCAAATTTGTACAAAAAAAAAGATGTTTGTCAACTGAATTTTATGGAAAAAAATCCCAAATTACCAGAAAAAGTCATCCGCATCTTCGATATACATGAGTTTTCAGTATGATTAAAATCGAAAGGGAACTATCATAGCCGAAGAATATATCGAAGGTTTGATTAAACATTAATTCTCATTAATAAAAGATATAAGAAGTCTGTTTCACTATGATTTTAAAATGCACAACAATATATACTATTACAATAGACGATTTAAAACAAGATAGCATTCTTGAAGAGCATATGCCATTTTATAACAATATTTCTAGCTGTCCAACTGCATATGTTGAAGATGATCCTGATCTTGAAGAGAATAGAATATGACTATGTACCATAAAGATATTAAAACATGACAAATTAATACATGCGAAATGTTGATACTACGATTGTTTTGGTTGAATTATAAAGCACTAACCTTTCTCGCTAGTTGTTTTAGCGAGATTATAAGACAAAAACTGTCATTTATTAGGTTTTTTTCATTATTTCTATTAATATACTAATTAACTTTATTTGCTAGTTTAAATGTTTATCACTCAAATACTAAATTGAGTCTTAAATTCATTTGTTTGCTTATGAAACAGTTTTTATTGATTTCTGTAAATTTTCAATTGGGCGACTTATGAGGTTTTTGGAATGACCAATTCAATTGTATTTCTATTAGAGTATTGTTCGATTTATATCGAAGAGGAATTATATGACACCAAGTTATGTAGAAATATTATGTTCCTGGGAAACAAAATTAATAAATTATTAATTAAATAATAATATAATATTCAAGACTTCAAATATCTTCAGGCATACCTACTTACTTATTACAGATAGTATTAAGAAGTCAAAGCCTTTATTCTGCTTTATTATCATGATGAGGTAGATTAGTAAACTGAAGGATGCGGGAAAAACCTCCGTTTTCTTTTCAACACAACAATAAAAAGGGATCTTTGACTGAATTTAGGCATGAACACAGGTGTTCAATATTCCGTACGGATTTCCGGAGGTCGTTCGTGCGACCGTCCACAATGGAAGACGTCGGAGGGGGGCTGGGCAGCCACCATCGAGAACTGCATCTCATCCTCCGTGAGCTCCAGTTCATCACAGCTAGGATGAAGAAAGCTGATGAAGAGGCTGAGTTGATCAGTGACTGGAAATTTGCAGCGATGGTTGTTGACAGGTATTTGTTCATAGATCTCATAACATCACACAAATACTATGTAAACATTTTATCTATATACATTTAATCAAAATATACCAAAGAAATTAATTGATTTCATACACCAATTCGAAAATTATACATCTCCGTTGATTATAAGAAGGAACGATCTCCATTCGTCATTTTTTAAATTTAGCTTTTCACTTAGCATTGATAGTTAATTAACATTTGGTTATTTTAACATTAATTCATCAAGTGAACTCATGCGAATTAGATATATCGCTTGATTCAATTCGTTTATTTCGTAGGTGAATCGCCTTTTTTGATAAATAGACGCAAAAGGTATCGAAAACTTTCTGTAAAGGGTTAACATCAAATCGCTGTGAGCAATCGATCATTCCGCGCACCGACTTGCGTAGAATTTATGAATGACCGACCGGTGATTAATCACCAACGATTCTGTATCGATTACAGGAGTATGTTCACTTTCTTTCCCACCAGGTTTTGTCTCTTCGTGTTCACCCTTTTCACTATCATCGCCACTGTGGCCGTGCTGCTGTCGGCGCCGCATATCATCGTGCAGTAAGCACTGCGGTCCCGGGTTCGCATCCCGACCCATCACTACGAGAGAACTAATCTTAGACTTTGCGGAACGATGTAATTATAATAATGTATAATATTATATCTTAATACGTGGTTGAAACGCACACGTCTCCATTAACTAAGTCGAAAGACGCTAAATATTAATAACTTGATACGTTAAATAGCGTAGTTAAGTCCAACATATTATAAAAAAAGATTGTGATGTTGACTAGGATGTTATACAGATAAATGTTGATGAGTATAATTTGTTGAAAATATAATTATATTTCTAATTAATACGGTTAAAAATGATAATTATTAAAATTCACATTGAAGACAAACCAGTAATGACAAAGGCGTCATCTATTCGGTATTTAGTTCGTGACTCATGATTGAAGAACATTTTGTAGATGTATCACTAATGTTTGATCCAAAAAACATGACTTTTTGACTAGTGCACTAAATTAAATTTAATGAAACGCCAACGGGACGCGTAATCATCCCGTGCGATAGAATAGTTCGAGTTGTAGTATCCTTTATAGAAGAAAATGAGGGATCACAGACAATGACATTACCTTAGGGTATTACATAAATGTAACTGTACATAACGGATCAATAACGTTAGCGTCGAGTCGAAATAGATAAATTTAGATTTACGTTTAAGAGCCTAAGTGGATCTCATAGTTTGTTTTAAACACAATGTAATGATCGACGATAAAATGGGTACTCGAATTGATAGAACACTCGATGAGGAATTGCTGACAGAAGTGGAATTGATTAAAATCAAACAAATTAAAGAACCAAGTTATTGGTAGATTAAGATTGTGTAGCGACTAGCGAAAGACAAAATAAGAAACAATAAAATGAGAAAGAACTAAACGAATTATAAGTAATTATTAAAGAAAAGCTGTCCCATTTAAATATCTAGATATCATATACATTGAAGCATAATATCGTCACAATTGAATATTATTTTAGTGTTGCTATTATATCATTCATTACAGCAAAATATAAAATATAACGTTCGAAATTTGAAATTCTCATTGGAAATTTTGAAAAAATATCATTATTCATTCGCATAGTTAATAAATAGTTTGTATATACAGTGAGAAACGCGAAATATGTTTGTATATAAATTTAGAAAAAAAAAATGGAAAAAAGACTAAATTTTTCTCCAGTAATTAGAGTAATTTCACGAAACAGTACTTTTTGAGCTCATTACAGTAAAAGCTTGAATGCCGATGAGTGTTTAAAGATTTATGAGTTGCTCGGTTTATAAATTATTATCCACCACCGAAACCTTTTTACTTAAGTCTATTGGGATGTTTCTATTGCTTTTAATAATAAATAAGCGAATGTGCGAATGGACTTTTATCGTGTTCGAATAGGACGAATTATTATATCTTATGGCTAATGTGATTGGTTTTCTTTTTCATATAATGTGTTGTTATTATCGCTATAGTAAACTGTGGCTCAAAAAGGCGGTTACTGGAATGTCATTGCATTGTGGATTCATTGCGAGCTTTGAATCGGTCTATATTTTTTTTCAATTTACAATTTGTGTTATAAATATTTTTTTTTCAATTTACAATTTGTGTTATATATAGCTGAACAACGAAATGTACTATGAGAATGTAAATTTCGCCAGTCCTTTAAAAAGTAATCTGATATTATTAGAAAAATTCATTGTTATTAGAAAAAATCTTCTAGTATCTATCTAATATCACATTTCAGTATCAGTATTGCAGTGTTATATTCAGAGGTTGGAATTAGGTAGAGTTATTTATGTACTTGCATCGAAATGTTGATATTAATGTGGACCTTCGTGGCAACATCGCGCGTATTGGTATTTTGCAACTTTGGACATCCGATGTCATTGATGTAAGTTTGGCAACGTCGTGCGTGCAGTAGTTTAAATTGTGTAAAAGTAAATAACTTTTTATTTAAAAAATCACGGGGTTTTTTTCTGCTCTTTAAAATTAATCTCGGGATTTGAGGCATATCCACTTTATTCTTTCGCTGTATGAAATCAGTGTAAGTACATGAATAACTCTACCTAATTCCGACCACTGGTTATATTGTACTATCCAACATGACAACACTTCAATGTACAATCACTAGGAAAACTGTTTAGAATTCCAATTCGGCGCTACTATTTTAAATATCAGGATGGTAGTGCGTGCTCGTAGAATATATTTTGTTTTGTCAAGAAAAATTGAAAATACCGTTATTTACCTAAAATAAATGTGAAATTACACAAATAATATGCTCACGTAAATAATATCATTGTTTTACTTCTTGATTACAATTGCGACGTGACGCATCAAAAAAATAGATACGAAGTCTTTAAGTACAACTTAATATAGGCTTGTCTCTTATCAAACATTGGAGAAAGAGAGGGAGAAACAGAGTTTGGAGTGCGTGATGGATTTGATAAGATTTGTTCACTTGACACTGAATTTAATAAAAAATATAATTTGTTTGGTCACCAAATTTAGCAATGTTTATGAACGAAAAAAGCTTGTTATAATCCGCGATGCAATGATGTCACTACTAGTTTCCGTAGCACACTTTAGCATCTATTTATACTGTAATATAATTAGAGATATTATTTAATGAAAATAACAATTATACTACGTCTTAACTATGTCCGTTCCTCGATTTCACTCTTGTAGTTCTCGTGATAGGCTAATAAATGTCGTGTCCCCTTTAGGCTACTGTTATAAAGGAATTAATAATTAAGAAAGCTCACTAATAATTATTATAGTAAATAATAAAATTATAGTTAAAAGTCTCGGTGTGTTCTCTTTGAATCAATTTTTTTAATCAAAAAAGGTTTGTGTTTTTTCTCGATTGTGACGTGACGTGTGATTAGTGATGCGCCTCAAATTTTACTTAAAAAAAATACTTTTTTTTTGTAAAAAAGTGAAAAAAAATGTATGCAAATTATTATGAGAACGTTTTGAGACTAAAATGTCGTATAACTCGAAGATTTTTCTGAATTCAAATAATATTATATTACCTAGTATTTGTTATAAAAACTTAGTTTTTATCATTCCAGAAGAATTCGTTTATATGTAATTGTTATTAATTCCGTACGTATGGTGCTCGAAAATATATCATGTTCTTTAAACATCCCATTGATTCTTTATTATTCAATAGAGCTGCTTGATAATATGTTGATTCTGTATAAAGGTTTTCAATAATTTATCCTTTGTCTATAATCATAATATTGTATCAATCTTTATTGAATATGTTATATTTACGTAAATTCATTGAAAACGATATGCGAATATGAAATTGTAAAATTAATTGATATATTTAATTAGATTTGTTAGTGCCAAAAATAGGGTTTATAAATATTGATATTAAGTTGGATTATAGGGGTATAAATAAAGGATAAAGTTGAAGAATCTATTGTAAAAATTAAAAACGAACTAGGAAGTTTGTTAATGTATTATTTAATGTTAAAGTTGGGTTGCTGGGCTGTGAACGCGAGCTTACCAGCCAATTTTAAAAGCTTATTTTGTTTAAAAAAAATAATTATGAGGTTGTGAAACGATTTGTATGGCGCGCACTGACAGCCCAGCGTTCATTTTAAATATATATAAAAATATTTAAAACGAAATGAAATAACAAAACGCCTGCCTGGGACCGGGTTAAAATCTAAACGTACAAAATAATGCATCTACACCTTCTCATACGCGGCGCAACATGTAGGTTCTTATCCTTTATCGGTGCAAACGATTTCGTGACGCGTAGACAATTATTTAAAAAAAAGAAAGTCTCTTTCTGTTTGCAAAGCTAACAAGTTTTATATTTTTTGAAAAAGAAATGCGTTGTTTGATAAAACTTTTCACACATTTTTTTATCAATTTGATTAATGTATAGAATTCTTTTTTTGTAAAAAGAAAGGATTATGTTTAAAAAAAATCTTAAACTTTTCCCCATTAGAATATCAAATGTAGCTACGCTAAATATTTATAAATTAAATATTTTAATTAACGCGATAACAGATGTATACATATTTTGTTATGAAACGAATTTAAAGCAATCGTTTGCAAAGGTAAGTCGCTTATTGATTACATTTTACATTATAAAGTATTGCAGGTTAAAAAGGTGTCACTTATTATACATATTTAACAGCTAAAAGGGAATTAAAAGTATGCAGTCTGATATAAAACATAATCGAAGCGTCGACGCTATAAATAAATTTCTTAAATTAAGTAAATTCGTGAATAATTCAAGTTTAGAAAATCATAAAAATGGCACGTTTTGAACCTGCTCTCGATATTTCACATGTCTCTTCATTAATATACTGAATATTTTATTTTGATAAACATTTTAACGGTTCTCAACGATATTGGCAAACATATGGGAGTTTAAGCTTTATTAGCATGTAAATAAATGCGATCTCGTACTCTCGCCGCTTCCGTATTTCACTGTGCAAAGTGGTCTGATTCATAATTAGTGGCGATAGTCTGCGGAAGATTCTTATTTTAAAAT